CTATAATCTAACTTCCTAAACCCTAAATAATTGAAAGGGGATAAGAAATTTACATGATTTAAGGGTGTAAAACTCAGATCTCGCCGGAAAAGAGCCGCCGCCGGAGGAAAGAGGGGAGAGAGGAGAGGAGAGCCGCCGGAAGAGGGGAGAGAGGAGAGGAGAGGAGAGTCGCCGGAGAGGAACGCCGGGAAGAGAGGGGAGGAGAGGAGAGCCACCGGAGAGGAGAGCCGCCGGAGATGGGAGAGAGGAGAGGAGAGGATGCGTGAGAGAAGAAGAGAGAAAATAGGAAGAAAGAAAAAAATTAGGGCTTTTGTATATTAAACCGACCGACGGAACCGGTTTCGTCGGTATTCCGTCGGTCCAAAATTATTTCGCGGTTTAGTGAAAATTTCACGCGGTTTGGATTCCCGGGTAAATAAATTACCCAATTCGTCGGAAATCCGTAGGAAAATACCGACGGATTTCCGACGAAAATTGATATTTAAAAAAAAAAGAAAAAAATCTGTAATAAATAATATAGAAAAGTATAACTAAAAATAATCCATATATTTGTTAATAAATAGAGTATTTGAATAAAGATTGAGTATAAAAAAGTATTTATAACACAATTTTTTTTAAAATAGTTTTAGTATTGTAAGATTTGATTAATATGTTTGTGTAATTAAATGAGTATTAAGATGATATGTTATGAAAACAATAAGATACATACATGTATATATTTAAATAAGTTGTAAAAATTGAATGGTTGCAATCAAACAATAAGATACATACATATATATATATAATTTTGGTATCCAAATATATATTGAGTTATGTTTATTTTAACATTTTAAAACTAGGTCGTCGGAAATCCGTAGGAAAATACCGACGGATTTCCGACGAAAATTGATATTTAAAAAAAAAAAGAAAAAAATCTGTAATAAATAATATAGAAAAGTATAACTAAAAATAATCCATATATTTGTTAATAAATAGAGTATTTGAATAAAGATTGAGTATAAAAAAGTATTTATAACACAATTTTTTTTAAAATAGTTTTAGTATTGTAAGATTGGATTAATATGTTTGTGTAATTAAATGAGTATTAAGATGA